TGCCTCCATAAGTTGCGCTGATTGGTTCTCCGGGTGTTGTGCGAAAATGTAGACGCACATTTTTTTTTTTTTAGTGCAAGGGCGGAGAGGGCCTAGGGGATTATCTCGAGCTATACTGCGCGCTAACACGCTCAGATGTTAGGTTAGACCACGGCGGGTTAGACTACAGCCACTAAATAAGCTACGCTTCAGATTAACGACATCTCAGCCATCCTGATCACGGTTGCCAGTTATATGTGTACCTGTATCCGAGATCGCAGGAAATGCTTTTCCGTTCTCCAGGAATGTTTAAAACAGTTTGCGACAGTGCCAAACAATGTCACCTGAGCTTCATCGGGCCGCGTCTAAAGCTGAGGAAGTTGCATTTTTGAACTGTGACGATCGACAGTTACGTCTGCTCTGCACTAAGCACCAAGATGGCGGCGCCCACTATCTTATCGGGAAACGGAGTGCAGATACTCTACGCGTAGCTCATCTAGTGGTTCTAGGTTTAGACCAATACCACCTATAGAAGACCAGTCGTGGGGCTTTTCGAGAACGAAGTGGAAGCTCCTCCCACCTCTTTCCACTTTAGTAGAGCGAACTCTGGAGAGGAGGTGGCCTCCTCGAAAGCGTTCGCTCCGCCAAAAGTGACAATATAATAGCTGTTTTATATTATTTTCATACTATAAAGGGGCTAATAATGTAAGTGAGAAACGAAAACTTAGAACCGAGTATGTAATGTTTCTTTAATTATTCGTATTTTGACCATCATGATCATCATCATTACCTTGCATATTGTACACTCACAATCGAGACCGTTTTTTTTTTTTTCACTTTAAATCAAGCACGCCCCGTCGACCAATATGATTCTATGGTTGTTACGCCGCTGATGGCTTCCATATATTTATTTTTGCGTTTGCGTGAGAGTGGTCATTCAATCCTCCCCTTGTTTGGTGCCGCGGCGCTAAAGAGAATATATCGTTAAAAAATGAACAGAAAGAACAAAAAAAAAAGGGGGGGGGGGGGAAGGCAGTTGCGGATTTTCTTTGCGTGGTCAGCGAAGCACACCGTAATGGTTCACGCGTCGGATTCCATAGAACGCGCAGAGCCGCCGGCCGCGCCTCAGCAGGATACACTCATCCGGGAGAATCGAATGCACCGCTTCACGCATAAACAAAACGTAATAAAAAAAGGCAAATCGGACGGCAATTTTCGGTGTTATGAACTGTTTTAAGTCGCAATACATGCTCCAGCCCATCAGTGTTTGAAGCAAAAGTCACTCTGCTAAAGGCGCAGGCACATCACTCCTACATCCGACAAAAGGCAGGGTGTTCTCTGTATGCACATATCATGACGGAAGTACCCGAGGAAACCCCTCAAGGGTGTTCGAAGCTTATGTTTACTTCATACACACTTAAGTTTCTATAGACGAGTGCAGACAGCTTTTGTATGACCAACGTGGATTCATGGAAGTACCGTCACTCAAGGAAGAAAGACGCCTCGAACAATGTCTGCACACTGTCGTTTGTATGATGTATTGGTAATGTCACCGCGACTTCAAAGAATGGCAAATCGCGCAGAATTTTGTTGTTGTCATAAACTCTTCTGTGCCAAAACACATGCCTCAGTCTGGCAGCCTTCGAGCGAAAGCTATAGAGACGAGGCGAGTGAAGAGGAGAGGGGGGAAAATAAAAAGGAGGAGCTTCAGGAAGCTCAGGGGCTATCGTTTTTGCTCTACCTCGGATTGTTTCAACATGTCTGGAGGACGTTAAATCGTTTCCAGGTCGCCGGCAACCGCGATTCGGAGCGCCAAAATGTCTGGATTGTCATTAGCGAGATTTAAAATAGGGGGCCTCACAGGCCTTGGGTGCCCAAACAGCTTGGGGCGTCCAAAGCTGTCGGGCCCCCTATTCTAAAACTCGCTATTACTTCGAAGTGCGGCGTATTTAGTGGTTCCATGGCCTGTCGCGAGTTAAGAAAAGCGGGACATTGACCTCCCACAAGGGCCTCCACCATTCCCTATCCAGTGGAGAGAACGCCCGAAGGAAGGTTAATAAAGAAAAAAGGCAAAAAAAAAAAAAAACAATAATGTTGAGCAGGTAGTTTTATGGCTGGGATGAGAAAGCGTCACAGTACGCGTGATTTGGGTGGTTTGTTTCCATTTGAATCGGCGTGTTCGATCAACGCTACCAATTTCTCCTGTTGGCACCTTAAAAACCGCATTAAGAAAAGTCCGGCCTCTCACAGATCGTTACTGATTTCCCCCTTTAAGCGGTTAATTAAGATATATGTAGAGGCGCATTTTCGATTAGCTATGAGTTATTTGACCAAGAGGTACGCGGTTCAAACGCCAATGCGGGGAGCAAGTAGTTTCGTGTGCTTCTTGCACCGGTTTTGCGATGATGTCAGAACGCCTAACTCTTATTGACAAATTGAAAAAAAAAAAAAAGAGTGGGTAGACCTCGAGGCATCTAGCATTGAGGTCTACCCACTATCCTTCTAATCACAGCCAATCAGAACTCGGCGTCGTTCTGACGTCATCGCAACCCCTGTGCAAGAAGCAGACGACTTGCTCTCCGCGTAGCATCGTTTCTTTCCGCGCCCGACAACCAAATCTTGCAAGATCTACTTTGCGCAGCGTACGAAAAATGCACAAAACTTGTTTTGTTGTTTTTTTCTTTGCCTGACAACGCAAGTGTCGAATAACCAGAGCCTGTACATGACAAGTTTGACATCGTCGCTGCGACCTCGAGCACTGATTGGATACGAGAGCTGCATCAGAGTTCGGCTGGGCATCGTGTCCAATGAACGCGTCGAAGGACGCTCGGCATATCGGGCTCGCGGCTCTGATTGCCGAGTATAGGTACTATGCGACTCTGATGACGTTCCTGGGAGGAAAAGGGGGAACGTTCGCGGGCCTTAATCATTCTAGGTTCGATGGTGTGCGCAAAGAACGCCATGGAAGCACCGAGCTTGCCTCAGTGCCGTAAGTCTTGTCTCTCTCGAAACGAAGTTACCTCACCCCGCGAGAGCAGACCCAATCAGACTCGGGCGCCGAGAACGATATGCTATCACCGACATCTCGTGAATTTCATCTCGCTGCGGAGAGAGCTACACCTCGCGGTATTGCAACTTGTGAGAAGAAGGCCTAAGATGACGGAATGGACCTTTTTTTATATGTAGTCCCTGGCAACTTTGATCACTACCATCATCTCAGCGTATGGCGTCTTTGATAAACGAATCGCGGCCTTCTCGAGGCTGAGGAAGATCGGTGGCCGAGTGGGGTAACGCACACCAGCTCGAACCCAGGGACCCTGGGCTCAATCCCCACCCCTGCCCGTTTCGATCTGGATGGGCATCGTACCGGCGTGCTTACGTGAACCGACCTTCATATACGAAGGTCATACCAAAAGTGACAAGGTACAATCGTTTTGAACGCGAGTCTGAAAGAGCCCGATAATGAGGATTTGATGGTATACGTGACACCATCTCTTGCGCAAAATCAAAATTTGCCATCAACGGGTCGGATCATTTAATTACCAGCACACGAAACAAAACTGTAGTCCATGAAGTCTCTTTTCCTCCACGTGCAATCCTAAAATGTATCGTAAAAAAAAAAAAAAAAAAAAAAAAACATATTTACGCAACAGAAATTTTTTTAGGCTTCAGCGTGCTTATGCTGACGTGGCCACGAGTTAGAGCAGTTCCAAAGTATGAATGAAACACTTTAAAGGCGGTCAGAAACGCGTGGCACGACAGCCTCGGAGTTGTCGACCTCGGACGGCCCCAACGGAAGCCAGCAAAGGGATCGTTGGCTAGCTCGGACGTTAGACGAAATAGCGAGAATAATGTGAATCTGACACAATGCAGTTCATGAAACGTTTCAAAAATTAAGTTATAACAAAAAAAAAAAATGTTTGCGCCCGTTGGGTTTTGCTGGACGACACCAGGGTGCGCATCCTCAGAGTGCTCGCTTATCGGTGAAAGAGATTGACAAAATTCGGTGGAAAGTTCTTCCGCACCCGCCCTGCACCAGATATCTGGCTCCCTCGGACTTTCATCTGCTTGGATGTCTGAAGGATCAGATGTAAAGTCAACGCTACGAGACACCAGAGATTATCCAGACGGCAGTGCGTTTCCACAAGGCGGGATGATAGTTCTGCCGTTTTTTTTTTATTTTAATATAATTTTAAGCTTTTAGACTGGTGGGAAAGATGCGTGCACAAAAAATAGATTATGTAAAAAAAATGCCGGCAAAATAAAATGGCGCAGTTTCGTTTTAAATAATGCAATGTAATAATTTGTAAAAAAAGAAGAAGAAATATTGAGCTTTGCGGGAAAATAAACGCGTAATATTGTAATTGTTCTCTTTTTTTTTTTTTTACAATTTAGCGTAGGGAGAAACACGTGAAGAAAAGGTTATAAACAAATGGGACGTCGTGACAATTCAGGCGCACATATTCCCGTTCCAATGCTAGTTTTGCTAGTTTCTTCTACTTTCGTTGTTAACCATATCATTTCTTTTAGCCCCATGACCCGCGTACAACACTTGTGTTAACACCAGGGTGGATATCAAATATCAGGTATATTTAAATCGTGACTTAAACAAAAACAGATCATTTTTTTCGCCACCTAAAAAAAAAATCAAGCTGATATTGTTTTAGTATGGTATCCGTCTAGTATCCATCAACCAACCAACATACCCCGATACTAATGACAAACAAAAACGACAAAAAAACATTAATAACCGTCTTGGCAGCAGACATATTCCGAATTACTGAGGTCACTAAAACCGCTCCACTAAATTATGACGTTAATCATAAGACTCCTGCAAACGTTCGAGACATAAACACCATCATCGAAAATCATCATCATCGCTCAGTGTCAAGGTCGCTCGCTCGATCGGTGCGCGCGCGCGCGCCTTTTTTTACATCGGCTTCGCCAAAAGGAAACACAAAAACGTCACGAACGAGCTCACTAAAAAGAGCAGAGTGCGGACAACTTTATGGTCACGCTACCTCGTGATCCCCGTCCTCCTTGGCATCCTGGAAGTCGTCATCTTCCTTCGTACGGGCTCCAGACGCCATCGCCCGTCGGAGCAGCCAGTGAGGAGCTGAAGACCACCAGACACCGTTCACCGGAAGCCCGAGCCCGCAAAAGTCAGAGGACTCGGTTCAGCAGCTCGCTGCTCCTAGACTATCCACCATCCCGGTTCACGGCACTCGTGGTCCGTTTTACATCGGCCAGCCCCTGCGGGGAATACCGACGACTACGTCTTCCGAGGATGAGTGGAGAAGCGGACAGCGTACAAGCATGGTACGGTGCGCCGTCCGCGAGTGACTTTGAGGCACTAAACGCGCCGTTGCATTCGCTGTGCTACGCTGGATAGTAGCGGTTGGCGACGGCCGGAAGAGCGCGGAGCTAGCGCCATCTCGTGCGGAAGTCGGGGACTCGGGTTGCTTTTATCGAACGGTACCGGTTGCATCACCGTTATCAGGCTCGAGGGAGGAGGAGGGAGAGACAACCCCTTGGCTGCGGTGCGGGATGCAGCGGAGCATCGCGCCGCGGATGTCACGTGGGGTCCTGGTAGACATTGTATTGGAAGAAGCGGATAGTGTGCGGGAGAGCCGGTTAGGAAATATCACAATCGAGACGCCGAGACAAGGAGGAAATAAAATAACGGAGAAGACATGTCTGGGTGTTTAGATTGCGATCATATTGGAGTCCGATTGGTGGGGCCCATTGCCTCCACCAGTCAGGCGCCATTATGTCACTTCCCTTACATTTTGACAGTGTTAGGTAAAGTACATCCAAAAGGTATTTGAACTACGAAGGAAGTGAGAGGGTATGTGGACAGAAAGTGAGATAGCCTAAAAAGCTTTGATTATTACCAGTCTAAAATTCGTGAGCTAACATATCGGTTGGGAAATTGATAAATTCCTGATGAAGCAGAAACTTCCTTCGCTTTTAGTTTATTCGTAAGCTCATCTCAGCTCGCAACGACCAAATGGTCGTTGCAGCTCGCAACGACCAAATGGGACAAGACGGCCGCATGATTGTCGTCTGTTAATCCGAAGACGTCATGTGTCTATTTGTTTGTTTGGCTTTTAGTTTCGGTGCCTTAAAATTCTCTAGATACGAGCCGTTCCATTTTGTTTCTTTTGACATTAATGAAGTATACAGCTTAAGTTAACCCATAACTAAAGTATAAATCAACATCGTATTGAGACCCAACCGATAAAGGTTCGACTGCCCTCCGCCGTTAAATATGGGGAGCCACATACCTCCGCATCCGGACGCTAGCTACGGATGGACGCTGAGACATCTAACGACCTGCTATTGCAACAACAAGAAGAAAAATACACAGAATACATAAACGCGGAGATCGGAAGCTACCTATATGTTTCGAAGTGCCAATTAGCAATCCCCCAGGCGAACATGGCTTTTCCCTCGAGGCTGCGATAAATCAATCAAGGTTGGCGTCCCAAGCAGCCGCACCAATTTGCACTTCCACTCATTCATTCCCAAAACCTGCACAGACTGGAACCACCTCCCCGCCTCCATCGCTTCAATCACTGACACCGACCGTTTCAAAAGTGCCATTTGCAACCATTTTTTTGTAATCCCCCTGCTGTGTTTATGTTCATGTTGTATTTTTTTTTTTTTTGTTCATCACTCCTCTCTGTGATGATTCGGCCTTGAGAGTAAATAAATTAAATTAAATTAAATGAAATAGTTACGAAAGATGCATTTTTTTTCGTCATAATCGCGTCAACACCGCTAGGAGAGCAGAGCCTGCAATATTTCGCCATAACTTTTCATCTTTAATTTACCGCGAGCACGCAGTAACGCATGAAAGAAGAAAAAAAAAATTCTAAGCTGACAGTGGGGTGGAAGCTACGTGTTCGTGTGGACCAGGCAAGTGTTGCCTTTCGTCGCTTGAGCGCGGTCCTTCGGAGAGCGGAGTCAGGTGATTAAAGCGGGGCGGCCGATTGGTCCGGTTGAGCGTGTAGCACCCACCACACTGTCAGCCCGGGGGTGAACGAAGCATAAAAGAGACTGAAAGTCTGGAAGCAAATGGGTAGCGAAGCGTTGGTGTGACCTGCCTGAAATATGCTTCCCTCCTCGGCGTCTCTCACGGTCTCTTTGAGAAATAAAATGAACGCCGTCGCTGTTGCAAGGTTTTATTACATTTCCTTTGTCACGAATACAATGCGAGCTGCGTGTAAATGAAAAGGCGAAGGCGAATGAAGTTAAGGTTGGTTCTTTTAGCATTTACTCTTTGTTTCGCTTATTTCTAGTGCTGGTGCAATGGTGGCTCGGTGAGGGCGGTTCGGAGAAAAAGAACAATCGAGGCTGAACGTTCGATAAAATGGAAATGAAGTTGCTTCTTTTTTGTTTTGTTTTTTGTTTGTGTGTGTGTGTGTGTGTTGGTATCACCCTAAAACGAGGAGCAGACCGCAGAGCGGTGAGATAAAGATGCAAAAACCAAAACAAAAAAAAATGTATCACTTGTTTTTTGTTTGTTTTTTGGCACAAACTGATGGTGAGTTTCAGTTCAAGAAACGAACAGTTGTGAGTGCCTACAAAGAGGATAGACGGAAGCATGATGTCCTTCAAACCCTTTTTCCACTTCGCCGTGATTAAAAGAAAGTATTTCATTTTTCTAGAAAGGCAAGTTGAAAGGTAGAAAATTATTCTTTCGAGCCTGAGCGACGCAGAGATCGAAACTCGGCAGAAATTGTGTACACGAACCGAATTCTTGTGTGGTGGATACCTGGACGACATAAGAACGTTAATTTTCAGTCATGTGAGTCTTGGATTGACGTTTGGTCATATACCTATTGCTGACTAGGGTGGGTCACTGCCTAGGTTCTCCTGCTTTGACGGCGAGGGTTTACCCAGCGGCCAGGATTCTCAATACGGAGAGAGGGGAGAGGGGGGGGGGGGGCATGACGGGTATGTAACTGACGTTTATGTGCAAGCGCCGTGTCTACACCTTCAGTAGCATACGGGCACGTACCCATCCGCAGCGTCACATCCGCATAATTAAAAAAAAAGACCGTTTTCTCGCACCGTCCAAACAAATTTCGCAGTGCGAAAAATGTTTCGTTCGAATTATTATATGATATGGATTGCGATAAGACTGCAAAGTTGGAAGTGGTTTCGAAAACTTTATACAATCCAAAATTTCTCGATAGAGATTTCAGCAGAGTGTGTGGATATACATGATGTCTGATTCGACCTGCTGCCAATAGACCTTTTTCGTATAACCTCAAACCAGTCAGTAACTGACGTACCCTCGACCTGGTGCATTTTTGGATTACCCGCTGACACAGGGTATGCAACCGCCAAGGGCATGGGCGAAAAGGCTTAAAAACGGACGTCGTGCATGAGTTAGTTCCGAGTGCTCCTTTTTACCGTGCTGCAATTTCCGAAAATCTACGGTTGTCTGGTTACCACTGCTGGTCGATGGAAAAATAATTTAAAAAGCATAAGAGCAATAGCAGCAAGTGTGCCATGAGCACAAGAAGCTGCAGCGCGAGTGTGGCTGCAATCTTATCGAGCTTCGCATTTTCCCCAAGAACACGTATCTATGAAATCAGTCGATTCCGAGCTTGAATCTCGAGAGATTCGTATCAGAATCAACGTCACGTTTAATCTCACGACCACTTCGTCTAAGACAAGAGGACCGATTTTAATTCCCGGTGCAGGTGGTCCAATTAGGTTATCACTGCAAGCCCCATGGTATGTGAAAGGTATGAAAAAGTTTACATGCCACCACTCAAGATGGAGCTATCAAATGTCGAGAGCTTACCTGCATAGACTACATTAAACTGCTCATATATACTTCGCTGTGGGAACTCAATCAAAACAATCAAAACACCCCACCGTCTTTGTCCTCGTTCTCTCGAGGAGGAAAGGTGATGGCCTGGGAGTAGCCAGCTGAATTCAACCAGGCAAGCTCCAACCAAGTTATTGCAGCCCACCATAGCCAAGTCTAGCCAAGTTCCCCCCATACGCACACCGTTGCCGACCCAGATAGCTGTGCTGCCAGAACTAGCCGGTATTTCTTTTTCTAAGCCGCTAGACGGCGTCGTCGGCGCCGCAATTCTCAAGATGGCGGCGCCGTTAAATAAAAGGTCTATAGGAAGTATTCACTGGCGGCCATAGCTGTGTGCGCGACTGCTGAGCGCGTGCTGATGGCGAGCTTCCACAGTTCTTTTGTAACGCGCATTCCGCGCCCTCAAAATTGCTCCTCTTAGCGGCCTATTAATGTGGGCTCGTTCTGAGCATGCGCTCTAGACAGCACCCACAAATAAGACGCCCAGTGAATACCCCTTATAGGGAGACGCACTCTCCGCATGCAAACGTTTCTGAGGATGTCTTCTAACTTTCGAGTCAAATAACGCCAACTGCTAAGAGTCTGGACTCTGGATGCATCTTCCTGCCGCTAAGTTGACATTTGAGCGCAAATTTCAGCCATCCGCGACCCGTAGTTGTTTTAGACGTTGCTCACAATATGCCCGACTTTTCTAGAACCCTGCGTAATCGATCTCGAAGCGAGGTGCCGCCATACCAAACCCTTCGGAAGAGCTATATAGTGACGTGACTTAGAAGGTGTGACGTGTACGAAGTTCGGAGCATTGCCGACAGGTGTTCACTGCAAAGGATTCCGGACTGCGAAAAGATGAACAGACGAACTGCGAGTATACTCTCTTGGCCGGCACTCGGTCATTTGGCACAGTAAGCCCGTTTGCGCAGATGTCGGCTCCATATGTGTGTTCAACTTCATACATACACAGCTGAGAATATGGTATCGCCGATCCAGTCGGCTAGAACAAGGTCACGTTTTGATCTCTGGATGCCCGTGATCGATTAAAAAGTATGTCGAGCTAAAAATCTTTTTTTTTTGTATATATTTATATATACATATTTTCGCACCAGCATTTGCTGCAAGATACGTAGTATATACATGTAAAAATAGTGGATCAGTACGGCTGATCACAACTTCCAACTTGCGAAACACGAAAAATTCAGTGAAAAGTAGGCTGTAGTGTTTTGGACATGAAGACTGGAGGATAATACCTTTCACAAACAAAGAAATCTCCACAAAATGGTTATTGCGCCTTGTGGAGTGTTCTTTATGGTGGGCGCCTATCTTGGTCTTGCAGCATATACTTTTACAGCTCTGACTCCCAAGTTTCCAGCGTTGGATAAAGTATGTTAAGAAAGTAATTGAACTACAGTACTAAGTAAATGAAAGGTTATGTGTTTGCAGTAAAGCTGTATAAGTACACCGAGTGCAATGTACTTGAAGTAGAGTACTATAAATAAATACAACGTGCTTTCAAAGTAAATTTACAAGTACATTTTAACAAAATCTATTTT